TCCACTGGGTTAAACAACCCACTTTGAAACCATGCGAACCCATTGTTTGTTGATATTTGCAGGGGAACCATGATTCCAGGGTTTCTTAGGTGGTGCGACATGGTTTTTGTCCATCTACAGTATGAATGTTACCACGGTTGAGGGCCTTCATCTGCTATAGCTAGGAGCAAGCTGGCCGTGTGGTTTGGATAGGGGTTGTCCATTTTACCTCATAGCCTCTACACGGGTCCAAATCCCCAAAACAGCCCAAAGCAACAACCAAGGGTTGCCTGATTCAGTGATTCAGTGGCAGTGATAGGAGCCCAGGACTAAGAATCCGGTCCATTTCGACTGGGTGTCCCAGAATAGAGGTACAGCGCTTTTTGCTTCAAAAAAGGGCACGCGCCCCCACTTCCATCCACGACTTTGTTGCTTTTCCACAAAGTCGCAGACTCTGAGGGGGGAACCCATCATATATAGAACTGATCCCACCCCCAAACACACCAACTGCACCGGCCAATGGGCCCCCAAGGGCCCGGCCGAGCGCCGGTAGCCGAGCTCGGCGTTTTCTCCGCGGAATCCGATTTCCGCCCTTGAGCCAAAATCAGCGAAGGCGAGCCGAACCAAGCAGGATGGTCGTCCCTTGCGTTGTCCAACTCCCGTGGTGCCACTAAGATGTGAAGAACATCTACATGATTTTATCCCTTTGGACTTTCAAAGGTGATGCAGCTTTAGGAGGGGGATGACAAAGGGACGTATGTTGATCTTTTCCCCTTTAAAGCCAACAGGGGAAAATTCATCACCACAATGGAGGTTTGGGTTCCAGCGTGATTTCGCAGTGTTCGACGATTTGAAGCTACCCCAATTCATTGGGAAAACCCTTGTTGGCTATATTTAAAATCTAAAAAGAGAGATACACCTACCTGTAGGGCATGTGTCCCTACAAAAACCCTACCAACACCAGACCCCTTACTTAAGCGACAGCCAGAAAAAATCACGGACGGTCTTCATTTTGGCCTTTTGCACGATGTAGTTGGAGGCTCCAAACGGGATCTCCTTCTGTGTGGCCCACAGGAAAACAGGATAGTCAGTTCGTACGCTTTTGGGGTCAGTGGTTGTTTGGGGCCATTGAGGGGTCGAATATGTCGAATGTCAAGGGGGTTTGTTATGTGTCTGGGGAGCATCGCCCTGAGAGTCCCACTTTGGTTTCCCCACCATTTCAACATGCATCCCAGTGGCTGCTGGGAGTCGGTGACTTGGTGACCCTCCCTGCTCCGGCCCTCAAAATGCCCAGAATTCAGGAACAGAAGCCCAAAAGGACAAAAGCTCCCGCCCCCAAAATCCCACAACTCAGCAACAACAGCGAAACAAAAACTTGGGTGCTTTAGATCCCCAGCAAAAGTTTAACTGTTTGCTGGTTAAAGGGAACCAAAAAGCTAAAGCCTAAAGATCCAACCCAATAGCAGTAGAGAAAAATGAAAAGGTACGCTGAAACTGGCGATGTTACATGGGGCAACGGGCGCGCTGCTTTGCTTTTCCGGCGCCGTCGCAGGGCGTCAGCCCAAGCGGCTGACAGAGACGGCCAGGGGCGAACTGCCGTGCTCGCCGTTGGGGTGGGGAACGGACCCAGCACCAGTCCGAAGATCCCTGTCTTAGCCCAGTTTGAGATTTTTGGGCAAGGGGTGATGTGTCAAATTTGGCCCACACCTGGGGGTACACGGAAAATCAATTGAGAGTATGTTTCAAAGAAAGCCACCCCCAAACATACAAAATAGCTGAAGAGGACACTCCACTGTATGCTTTGCAAACCAGCTGCAAGCCACCAAACCTTGAAAGCGTATGTCTGCACATGTCACTGTGATTCTACCCCGATCGATCCCCAAGTAAAGGACCTGCGTCACAAGCCTGTTTTGCCCCCAGGTGAGCTTGCCAATGAAATATGCAGGTATGCATGGCACACCTCCATGTACCCCTCAATTTAAGACCTGGCTCCTCCACAACACGCTGATGTTTTACGGGGGTGCCTGAAACAAAATCTGATTGAGGCACATCCAGAATGGGGTTATGGGAGGGAGGGGGGGGGTTGGATCCTATGAGGGCTTGGATCCTATAATCAGAGTGACGCTTCCCACCCATGCACCCCCATGGGAGCTGACAGGAGGTCTCTTTGCTCAACACCTTCAACACGTTCTCCATACGGCTCCAACAAAACTACTTGATACAAGTACACTAATGGCTTTGCGCCGCATTTGCTTGCTGGTGCGGTAGGGCAGGGTGTTGAGAATGAACCGTTTCGAGATTCCCTTCAAGGAAACCATAGGGGATGGTTTGTAGGGGTCATTCCATTTCTCATTCCCTGCTAGGAACCAGCAAGCTTAGGTTTAGTGGAATCTCCTTGTTAGAGTCCCCGCAAGATCTCTAGCAAGTTTTACGTAGATGTGCACGGGACGTCTGGCAAGTTATTTACTGATGCGGGTTGACTATCAGGCAAACCCTCGCTAGCAAGGAATAAAGCATCTGCATGGCACGAATGACTTTCCAAAGCTGCCATCATGTGCCATGGCATAAACAAAGAGTTGCAGAATTGGCTGTGGATGGTCGTAAGTCATTGAACAGACTCATCATTGGGGCTGAATTCCAATTCGCTTCAACCATTTTTGGGTGGTTTTCTGCAAACAAGGATAAACAAAATGGTTGGAAGTTAACCTCAGGATCACCGTGGGGTCTCAAAAACCAGTATTTGGTTCCCGCCCAGTTGCAGCCAGCATGTGAAGAGTATCCCCGGCCAAAAATCGCTTGGCTGATCATTTTGGGGAAGCCACCAAGCAAGGAAACCAGTGAACACTCAATTGGACTGGGACCTGCCTGACTGAACAGACATGCGGGGGGGTCACTTGGAGTTCCGAGGCGTCAGCAATCCATATGCTGTAGGCTATAGTGATCCATCCTTGGCCCAAATCTGGGGTACATACACCACAATCTAAGTTTAACAGATTTTTGTTATATTTAATGTTACCAACATTAGCCAAACCTAACATGAGCAAAAAGCAAGTTTTGCAGGAGACCCCAGCATTGGTACAGGTTCCCCACCCACCCACCCCGTGCAAAGCGCAAAGGCGTGCCACTGGCTGACTCAGCGATTGGCATCACGCCGTAGAATCGAGTCATGGCGAGCGAGATGAGTATGTCCTGCTTTTCCCAAGCTTCAAGTGGATTATGGGATATTATGGGATCAGAGTAACAAATGGGGTTGCCTCCAAATGGAGGTTGCAACATAGCAAGAGAGGTAGGAACGAGACTGAATAAATAGGTCGGATGTGGTCGATTCCCAGGTGCAACCGGATTGACCAGAGGGGAACCCACCCTCACTTCAGATCGAGTTCGCCCAAGCCAAACTTTTGGCTTGCCACTAAAATGGTCTTCCCCAAAAGTCGGCAAAGTCCAACTTGAATTTGGACACATGCAAACCCGGCGAGGTCAACACGGCGCAACCCTTGGGTCATTGAGGGAGGTCCTCTTTGACAGATGTAGTTTGGGGGGTGTGCGGGTTAGTCCGAAGACAAGCTTCAGCTACAGGGCGAGGCCCGGTTGAAGGTGCTCAGTTCTTCGGTGGATTGCCCCAGACAGCATGGGACATTTAGCGCAAAAACCCAACAAGTGAAGAGGCACCCAAGCCAGGGGCAAACTCATAGAGCAGCGACCCATCCTTGGTAGTACAACCCTGGTGTTTGTCTCTGCAAGGATCCTGCCCAAAACTGTAAAGTGAAGAAACTTAGGGCTCTAGTCCTGGTCGACCGTGCTAGAAGGGATGAAACCATGGTTGATTTTGTACTCATAAACGTGCCTTTGTTTCTTCTAAGAGTGCTGGGCCCCACTTAAGAGCCTTGCCTTTGAACAATACTGTGAATTGCGTGTTGGCTTTGGGGACCTCATTTTGTCCTGCAGAAAGAAACGCCGGTTTGAGTCTCTGAACTTGCAAATGAGGTAGGTTCCAGCTGTCTTGGGAGGCTCATTGTACTGGATGTCGCCGTAAACAAATTGGCCTCAGCCTGTCGCGGCCAGACACTGCAAGGGTTGAAACGCGCGCTTGAAGTCGTCTCACAGTCGCCTGCGGCAACCATCCAGTGGTGGTCACGGTCGCGGAGGCGTGCGGGGCATATACCATGTCTTTTGTGGGCGTGAGACAAATGAAAACGCACACATTTTGTAGGGCGAATGGTTGGTTGCTAGCCCTGGCTGGACGGGTGTCTCCTATAAATGTTTCCATTTCATGTTCTGGGGAGTAAGGGGACGCCCCGATGCTAAACAGGGAGATGCTGATGATTAAATGGCAACATGCCCGCGAAACTCCAATATCTCAATAACAATGTCCCACTACCGATCAATGACCCATCACAATAATAGTTGCATGTTGCCGCCTGAACTTGACCTGAGCAATTTCGGCCACGTTTGAAGCAAACGGCATGCGACCTGCCAAGAAGGTTTACCGTATGGGGTGTGCCTAAACACAAACTGAAAGACCAAAGGATCGACATGTTTATGCTGCAATTGGAAGCAGGGCATCCTGCAAATCAACATGATGAAGAGCATGTGGCAGTTTTATGAGACCAGTGGCAATCAATAAGCACCATCCGATCGACGCACTGTAGTCAACATTCAACAAGTCTGATTACGCCTGGTGCAATCCTACGGCTGAATCCCCACCTCTGCAGATGATAAGAAAATCACCGCACATGACTCCAAGGGTGGCTGGGCTTTGTTATTGCGTCCATTCCACGTCTTCAAGCAACAACCATAGGGACCGAACTTCCTGGTCCCAACCAAAATGGAAATGGGCTTAACGACTAAGCTTGAATCCCCAACATGCACGTAGACAAGGCAGGGCAAGATCTACTAGGCTGCTCTCCTCCAAAAGCTCTCTCTCTCTCTCTCTCTCTCTCTCTCTCTCTCTCTCTCTCTCTCTGAGGCCTCTCTCTCCCCACACGAGTCTGGCCGGGGAATTTGTCTCCAAAATTGAGGGAGCCTCCAAAATGGTGCTTTTTGTTTTGCTGTTGTTTGCAAAAGGTGATGCTGAATCCGCAAAACAGGGAAGGAAACATAGGCCCTGGACATTTGCACCCTTTGATTCCTCTCTTTGACTGGCGCCTCTCAGAACGGCGGCTCCTGCGCAGCTCCGGTTGCGGGTTTCACCTTTTTCCTTTTTGCTTGCTTGCTCGAATCTTGCGGATGACACGTACCTCCAACTAAACATGTTACTTCCATATTTAGCGAACCTGAAACTGCAAAACTACACCAGAGAGATCTCAGAAAACGGAGAGCTTGCTTCACAAGTGATCCGGAACGCTAAAGTAAAAGGGCCCCCGACATGAATCCACCAGTGAAACGAATGTTGGGTTGCAGGTGTGGCGTGTAACGCTGATTGAACCTAGACCTCGAAAGACCATCTGGCAATCAGAAGGCTCCTTCAATGCTCAGTGAACATTTGCGGCAAAGTAGAGAGCCTGGTTGGCAAGCCCGAGCATTCCCCAATGTCCCCTCTCACAACTAAAACCCCAACATCGGCTGCTAAATATGTTGACCCTGAGTTGAATATGTTGAGGTTTCTCAAAAGAATAAAGCCCAGGAAATCAAAGAAGTGAGCCGAGATATGAGTTTGGATAGTGCCATTGTCCATATCCCTGGCTTTCCCACCCCTGGCAAACCATCGGAAACCATGCTCCAAGCGGCTTACCATATCCGAACTTTTTGTATGCAACTAGAATGGTCTTCCAAAACAGCTTACAATCCAGGAATTCAGGAGGTGAGGTTCCAAGCAAAAACAATATGGAGGTGCTAAAATCAAACAAAGAGACACGGGCTGCCCAGGCCGAAGCGCCGTTTTTCGGCTTCGCAACCCAGTCCTTGGGATGCCAAAAGCCCGGCACTTGGCGGCCAGACCAGGAACCCATGGGGCAGGTCCTCATTCGAAACCGACTGTGGATGGACGAATTCCGGCACCACTTTGAAACCATGTTTTTGCCAGGGCACCCTTTCGGCTTGGACAGCCCATGCTGTGGATGGATGAAATCCTGCACTGAAACCATGGTTGAAACCATAACGCTCGTTGGTATTTACAGGGGAATCATCAGGAACCAGGGTTTCTTAGGTGGCGCGAAATGGAGTTCGCAACTATCCACAGTATCTGGGTTGCGGCAATGACCCCTCAAAACGTACATGACGTTTTTTTGTGGGTCCACTCACCTTTTTAAGCAAAAGCTGAGAAGACTCACCTTTTTAAGCAAAAGCTAAGATCCAAAGTCCTGAGAATACCCACTGTTTCAACCAAAAGCGAAAGACCAGCCACACAATTCCGGGTGTGGGCTTTTTAAGGATCCGATCCCACAGAACTAAACAAAACAAAAAGGCATCAATGGCCGGTAGTCTGGGTTCCAAGTGGGCGCGCATCCCCAATCTGTAACTCGGACTGGCATAATACAAGAAAGGAAACCGGATCTGGCACAAGGACAAAAGGATTGATTTAGAAAGACTCAGTCGTTTGTAGCAGGACGTGATAAGAAACAAGAACATGGACCTTGCGATTTTGGATCGAACCAACCTCCTTCCATGGCTGCCAAGGACCCCCCAAAAAGGGGAGGGCTGCTGAAAGGGTCCTACCCCTTTTGGTGGCTTTCCAGCATTTTGCGGGAGGATTGGGCTGCAGGGGGGCCATTGTTAATCGCTCATCAGTGACCTTTCGGTTTCCGCAGTGTAAGGGCAATCATACAATATAAACACACATTTAAACATGACTCCACCAAGGGGAAATCACCAACAACGCTCAAACCACAGGTTAGCCTCCTCAGAGAACCTGGAGGTGATGTGGGCCTCATCTAAAAGCTGCTCGGAGGTGCCAAATCTCCCTCAACCTGGTTTTGGGTGGGTGTGGAGCTTAACGACCTTTTGCTTTGGTCGTGATGACTCCAAAAGAGAAGTCTCGGCCAGGGGCTCGAAATCTGACCTGCTCGAAGGAATTTGTGCCAAGCCCTGAAAGATGATGCTCCTTAACGGCAAGCAGGTTCCGCTTCTTGGTACCCCTTCACGGCAAAGCCTGACACCTGCCCTGAAAAAAATATCAACTCGTTGCTCTTGTAAAGGGACCCTTTTCACGTAAGCGCCCCTGTGAGACCACTCAGTCAAGTTCCAGTTCCTGTCCAAGGCCGAGTTCGTGCATCAAAAACGCACCCACTGACATTTTAGGCCCAAGAGTGACATCACGGCCTGTGACGTATGCCCCCCACCCCCAACTTTACATAATAAAACCATACTGTAGATGGACGAAATCATGCACCACCTACCATTAGACACCATTTGTTGACAGGGGCGTCAACATTCCAGGGTTTCTTCGGTGGTGCGAAATGGATTTCGCCACCATCCACATGTGGTGTGCCCTTGGAAGCCGTCTCTTGCCAAGCAAAAGGAAACGGCTACACTCTGCGCACTTTCTGAGTCCTCAGAACCCAGATCCGCGGCTGGGGACTCCGGCGGGGGCCGCAGCATGCGCACGGTGCGGTGCCACCGAACCTCCAGCTGGCACCCCGCCTCAGGGTTTTGGCGAAAGCGTGGCTTCCCGAAAGAGGAGTGGCCCTGGTTTCAACTGAACGGGGACTTACAAGCATGGCAAGCGAGTCTTCAGAAGCAAAACAGGCATCAACAAGGTGTTGTGCAACACCGCACAAATCAACAGAACCAAGCACAGCAGTTCATTCATTCATCCATCCATCCATCCATCCATCCATTTATCCATCCATCCATCCATCCATTCATTCATTCATTCATTCATTCATTCATTCATTCAATCTTGAGAGGGAGTCGCCGGCTGCGCCTTTTCGGGCACAGGCGAAGTGCCTTGAAGACGGAGAAAAAAAAACAGGGTCATACAAGGAACCCCTATGCCAAGCTTCAAGGAGCTGGGGTTCAAACCTTGAAGCTACGAATCCACCACGAGATAGCTGAATTGCTGCTGGCAAAAAGCCTCTTGTTTCTTTGCAGGTACGACCAAAAATCCAATCAAAACAAACAAAACTGGGATGATCTGGGAATCGCTCAGTGACTAGTTCGCGTGGATGGGTTCGCAAGGGCTATGTTGAGGTTTGACTGGGATAACTCCTTGGAATATATCTGACGACCGGTGCCTGATTTCCCCAACCCCCGCTTTGCCTTTGGAGTCAAGGGGCGCTTGCGATGGGTATGCGCGTGGGGAATGGCCCGATTGGGGGTTCCCAGTGAACATCCGGCGAGTTGGATCGGTGCAACGCGCTCAAGCTTCACATCACAGACTCGGGACTGCTTCCCCGCTCAGCCCGGTCGCACGCAAACTAGAACCCAGAGCAACAACAAACCAACACATTGTGATATACCAAGAACAAGTGAAGTTTGACTCAACCCTCTGCTCCAAGCACCTGAGCGGCTTGGCGAAAAATAGCAGCCACACTACCCAAAGCCCGACATGCAGGTGAAGGGTGCAGCCAGACCGGGAACATTTGCGGATGACCCTTGTCAGCACGGTTGATCCCCAGTTCTCAGGCCAAACTCTCACGCGTGAAGATCGGAAACAAACACATTGTCACTTTCGAGGCCATCACAACATGTAGACCAAAGAGCTTCTTACAAAGCAAGGTCCATTCAGATTGGCCAGTGGATCCAGCTGACAAATTCCCCCATTAGGCGAGCAGGGAAAACCTACTGGGCTAGTAGTGGAGGTTATTTGGACCATGTCCATTGACACCAAAGGGAGTACCGTGTAAAGCAACCAGTAGTCATTGAGTCATAGGGATGGGAAACCCATTTGGTACCCGGAAATGGGTGGGCAGCCTTGCAACATGCAGCAAAGGAGCTAAATCATTACACACCCATGATTCTATCTACTGCACTGGAGAAACTAAGTTCTGGTTTTGAAGTATCCCACACCCCCAGCCACCCCCCCCCACCCCCCCCCACCTCCCCCATAACTACTACCCAGGCCCAGAAAGTCGGACCGTACTGGACACACGATCCGAAAAGTTGCCGAGCCAACGGCTGGCAGTACCCAGGACTCGCCGTCCTGACCAGATCAAGCCGTTTCTTGGCTCCCTTCTTGGGTATTCCGTTTGTTGGGTCGAAAAATGCTTGGGTGTCCGATTTTTGTGGGGAGACCATGTGGAGGGGTCCCACAACTGTTTGAGACACGCAAAGAGGCAGGCAAAGAGGCTGAGCCTTCTTGGGAGGGGATTGAACCACAAGCAGCGAGGTGCGAAAACTCCCTGGGACACATCAAATCCAAGGAGTGGCTGATGAATGGGTTGAAAGGATGAGGTCACAAGAAGATTCCAATGGAGGTCGCGCAGCCCTCATGCTCACCGCGCCATTTGGGAACCTGGCAGATGTTCATTGGGTGCTTTGGATGGTGCACCTCTAACCGGTCTCTAACCCCCTGTCTTCCAACCAGGCTTCTACAGATCTGGACAGATTAGCACAATTCCTATCCGGGGAAGAAGGTCTCCCCAAACAACAGGTCTGGATCATGGGTGAACTCATTTGACCCACTCGTTCGTTTTCTTGTCAAAATCAATGAACTGGGTGCACATGAGTGGACAAAGCAGAAATCCAAGGCGCTGCGCACTGGAAACTATTGATGGGAGACTTTGATCCCCTGGCATGAACAGGTAGCTCGGTGGCCCGGTGGTGGGCAACCAGCCCAAGGATCCTAAACGGCTCATCTTGCCCCAACTCTGAGGTAAACCAAACAACCCCAACCACAACTCTTGCAACCCTTCCGGAGCCCTAGCCCTCAGCCGCTCCGAACCACTTCGGAGCCTTCCTGGGCAACAAAACAAACTTCAGACCTTGGGACATCATATTTTCGGATCATGCTTCACATGGCCATGGGTCAAAAGTCGAATCGTACCCCCAGTGAACATCCCAATCCAACCACTAAAATCGGTCCTAAAATGGGTGGTGAATTCACCTACCCCAACCTGGGATCCCATTGGTTTTGACAACCACAGCCACTTTTTTTCCGTCTACGCCAAAAAAGTAGTGAGAACCAACGAGAGTTCCCAAGGCCGCGCTGAGCTTGCGGCCATCTGGACGGCCTCTGGACCTGGGGATCAATCTCTTGGGACTGGCGTCACTTTTCCTGTCTAGGGGTCGGCCGAATGAGTCATCATCAAACCTTGGTATTAAAACGGTCGACCCAGAACCATGCAAAGAATTGAGAAGGCGGATATCCGCAACTGTCTATGCTTGGGATTGCCCCTTACTAACCTTCACTTACCCGCGTTTTGATTGTTTCTCAAATGGCTAACTCTGGTTGGCACCCAGAAAAACCTGCAACGGTCAGCGGGTCAACAACCCGAGAAAATGGAGCACCGGCATACATCTGTACCTATACTTTGGGACTCATTTCCTTGGCTCCGGGAAAAGAAGTTAGTGGGGCCCCTACCGGGGTATAAGCCAACCTCGCCAGAACCTTCCTTAGGCCATTTCTCAATGGTAAGGAGGGTTACGACCTGAGCCGCTCGGCCTTGAGGGTGAAATCGTATGTTCTTGGCGAGAATAAACATAAACCCGGAAGGACAATTCGTGGTTGAAGCCCCCCCACGAGGGACCTTTTTGCTACTGTACCTAAGGGGCTTGGGAGCCACTTTGATGTTCTTTGGATATTTGTCCTGGTAAAAGCCACTTAGCTCACTGACAAATGTGAGACACCAATCCCGCAAAAAAGTGTCCAAAATAGCCACGGGTTCAAACATGGCTCCATACATAAATGACCAATGGCTGCGGCAAACAGGGCCATGTTTTTTGGTTTCGGATAGTTTGCGCAAAAAGGGTGTTTCCTTTTTTTCTTCTTTTACGGGGGTGTGCCAAACTTGTTGAAACATGCTCAAACACATCATGCTGGTTTCCCCTTAAGAGAGGCCAACCACGATTCTTCCAACTCGACCCGGTTTTCAACCTCCACGTTGGCTTTTGGCTTCTGGGCCCCAAACAGCTCGTCGCAAACCGCCGCCGGAAAGCTGAGGAGCCTGGGCACTGGGCGCCCCGGGCGCTCCAAGGTCAGCTTCAAGGCTGCCGGGCGCTTCAGGACCTGACGCTGCGGGTCACTGGGCATGCATCAGAAATTGCAAGTTCAGGAAAGAAATCGGCTGCTTTCCGCTCTACTAAAACATAACTGTTTGTGGTTTGATGGAAAACCCATTAGTTGCAAAAAGTTAAAGTCCTAACATCCAAGCAAAATGCGACAAAGAGAACACAGCGAACTGTGTCTCTCGCCCTCGTCTCTCTCTGTCTCTCTGTCTCTCTGTCTCTCTGTCTCCCTCTCTCTCTCTCTCGCTCCATCTGCGACGACGACGAAAACAACAACCCGCAGCAACAAACGACAAGCAGTACACCGCCGTGAGTTTCTGTGACCCGCCAGGGGTTCACCATTAACCCACACCCACCGGTCCCCCTCAGGTGTCAGGATGATCTTCCTGGAGGCTCACCGTGGTTCAGGCGCATCAGCAAAGGGCAGTGCCTATCTCCGCCCTCACACAAACGGTGTCTGGGCGTGGGAGCTGGTCTTGAACCCTCACTGATGGTGCGAAAAATGGCGAACATGCGCACATTCTGGCAGCCACGAACTGCTTGGAAGCTGACACATGATGGAACATGGTTGAAGTGCCCTCCTTGAAGCCAAGAAGAAGTACACCTACTTTGAGCAAGCAGCGCACGACGAACAACGATCTCACAATAAGCAAAGAGCAACAAGTAGCAACAAAAGCAAACAACAACCCTCAGCCAACCCAAGATCAACCTATACCCGACAAACTACAACACAGCTTACAAACAACAATAACCCAACGACCACCAACGCCAAGAGAGCTGGAGAGTAGTCCGCATAACACTTTTGCGACGAAAGATCTGGCAACAAATGGCTAACCTGTTGCAAGTCTTAAGTATACCTTTCTAGACCCAGGCCCCAAGCCACCATTCGGGTGAGGCTCACAAGTAAGAAGCTAAGGGTACGCAGGTTTTAACCGCCAAGGTGCGGTTTTCGTGTACGCCTTTTGAGCCTCGTCCATTTCACATAGTTTGAACCGCCCCCTGGAACCTGGTTCCTGGGGCATGGCAACCTTCCGTGCAACCACCATCGTCCTGGTGGTCTTTTCATAGGACATTGTTTGGCGAGCCATTTGGGTGTTTCTCAAAATAAAGGTGGTTGGTGTCCTTTTGGTTTCCTCCTGAAACCATCCAAAAAGGGGACCCCTATGTTGAGAAGCACCCATTTGCAAACCCAGTTTCAGCTGGGTCAAGTTTTCGCTGGCCCCTTAAACATGATTTGAGGTTCCGGGTGGTCCAGGATTCCATCCAACTTGGGGTCCGACCTCCGCAGTGCCGCCGGCCATCACCTGAAGAGATCACGAGACTGGGAATTGGAGGCATTGCTGAGGTATTTCTGGGCGAATTCCCTTCATACCCGGTTACCCCACTAGCATCCGCTAGGGGTATCGCGCAGCCCACTGCGCCCCCTCACTTAACCTCTCTTGAGGTAGGTGTGCGGGCCCTCGCATCAAGAATCAAGAATCAAGAATCAATACACCCAAATTGACTGGGTTGAAAGCCATGGAGGGGTCCGAGGAGTACTAACCCCGTGGTTGAAGTGGGGTTCCCCATTCACAGAATCGTTCGTGTTGTGTAAAAAACACCCAAATGCGATACCTTTAACTGGCGAGCTCGGTTTACTTCAAGGGCACTTCACCCAAAAGAAATGGATACAAGGGTGCTGCCGTTGCAGGAAGCTGTGCCCCCAACTTGAATCTGCCAATGTTCCTGAAGCATGTCACCCCAGCATGTTGGATGCTTGCCTGGAACCAGCCAGGCTTGCACTAGCTTGTGAGTGCAGCATGTTCGAAACGTAAGAAGTACAAGGGATCACGCCATGATCTTGCTCAAGGCTTCCATCTGATCAGCTCTGTGCATATGCCAAGATGCAAGCTTCCAGCCAAAAGATCTGATGCTGCAACGGAGTTCGGGTCCCTTGAGCATGGCTTTTCAGGGGCCTCCCGCAGGTTCACGGTTTCATGAAAATTGAAAAACTAGGCTGGAATTGGGAGCCCAGCAAAAATATATGTTGCATATGTTTTGCCTGGTTAGTGAAAGGGACCCCAAAAAAGCAAAAAAACAAAAAGGGGAGCTAATTCTGGGGAAGAAAAACGGGGAGACCCTTGAAATCAGCCAGAACCTGGTCAAAGGAATTTCGCCGGGAGGGCGCAGCCAAAGCGGCAGGCGTTGCTGAGGGTCACCTGGGCAGACTTGGACCATGGGTGAGGGTAGGATTTCTGTTTCGTTCCAAAGTTGCATCCAAGTTCTCTCCCTCTCTCTCTCTCTCTCTTTCATTTGGTTTAGACCTCTGTAAAAAATAAAATATATTTCCAGTAGTGATAGATTCCCTTTAAAACCAACAGGGGAAAATAAAAACAATATATATATATATATATGTATATATAAGCAAATGGAAGCTCTCTTTCTTTTTTTTTTTTTATGCGCCATCTACCGATGCCCTTCCCAAAGGTTTCGTGGACACATGTGGTTTAGACTCCCGCAAAGTCGGCTCGGCTTATATAGCCAGTGGTTCATGATCACGTGATCAACCTCTGTAGAAAAGGGCGAGGATACAGAGAAACCAAGATGCCAAAAGGTTGGCTTAGGCAAAAGGGCAAAATCCGCACATGAGTCCGGTCTTCTTTGCCCAGTACAAAGCCATGAACAAAAACAACTAGAACGTCGCTTTGCTTGGTAGTTGGCGCATGTTCATGCGAAGCCCGCTCAAAAAACAAGAAGGAACAGCAAAGGCCCAGCACTTGATGTTTACTGGACGACTGGGTGGGTTCTCCACCTTGGCATCCCCACTGGGTCCTCAACAGCACACACCCACCCCTGGTGAACAGCCTGGTGTCCTCCTAACAAGGCCTTGGCACGGTCTTAGGGTCTTACTTTGGAGGATTCTAGGGGGAGACGGAGTTTGGACCCTCCTTTCGATTTCAGGTGCCAAAATGGGGTCTGGACAAAATGAAGAAACTATCCAGTTGGGGAAGCAATTGGGTTTCACGGGAAGGCTTAGGCCCTGGCCAGCTCCAGCAAATGATCCGACGGAGAAGTCTGACTCAGCTCCTCCCGGGATAGCACCACACCTCAGACACACGCAAGGCTCCTTGTGCCACATGGAATTGAATGGGCCCACATGGTGATGCTTAAATCCACCAATGGAAAAGAACTGCGAGGACTAAGAGGACCTTCTTGCAATACGAACGGGCCCTTGAACGTTTCAGGGACCCGTCCCCAAACCCAGGGCTACGTAACCCCGCTGTCACAGGTCTGGGGAACCTGCCACCCCGGGCAATGGTGGCATCAAAGACTTCCACAGACCCCAAAGCAGAAGAGCGAAGACTTACATCGGGCTCACTTTTCTCCCCTGTTTTGATGGCTCACTCAACTGATGCTTGACATGGGCTCTGCTTTTAGGTGCAGACCTGATCCGTTTTGGCCTGGAAGGCGACGTGCCACAAATTCCAAAAACCGTCAATTCAAGGGCTCTTCTCACCTGAGTGGATTGGCCAGAAGTCTACAGGGGAAGCCCCTCCAGAAAAACCCGAGTTCGGCACGTCCAGAGCCATAAGAGTTGATGTTCATCAGCGTGAGCTGTCGCACTCCGCCCACCTGGCGAAACGCCTCGTAGAAAATTTGTCATTTCAGCAAGTGGAAGGCTTCTCCTTTTTTCTGACTCGCTTCGATTCGATGGACCAAAGTCTTTGAGTTGGGCCGGTCGAAATGGAGGCTTGGTCAATCTTGGTTGCTGCAACGACCCCCCTGCAAAAAGGTTTAACGTCTTGGGGGTTTAGTGGAAAACACCATTATTTCCAAAAATATAAAGTTTAAAGATCCAACCCAATAGCAGTCAAGCAAAAGGCCAGGAGAATTCGCACGCAAGCACAAGGTCTCAGATCGATAAGAAGTGGAACATCCATTGGCAGATTCCTCTGATGAGCATGGTCTTATTGATCCAGCAGAAGTGCCTATTTTGCTACACACTAAAAAAATGACAATTTTTTTGTTTGCACGTGCATACGGGTCTTGCCCAAACATTGCACCAGCTAAGGGCAAGTCAAACACATAAGGGGATGGCTGTGTGTGTGTGACTGACTATCTAGTCCCTTACTGGGTTCCAGTGGTCTTGAAGACCAGGTTCAGCAGCCCAAGCCTGCAAAATAACTTCTCAAATCAGACACCCCTGAGGTAGGACCCTGCTGAAATCTTCGCATACGGTCCCTCTATCGTCGGTCGTCATGTGGCTTTCAAGGGCCTGAATTTGAAGAGTTGAATGTGGATTCTCATTTGTTCCTGGCGATTGAGGGCGATCTGCATGTTGAACTTTTAAGCCCATGGAACATTCCAGCTGCTCAGCAAACAAGAGAACCCATGTTGAAATTACCATGTTGTTTTTTGTGTGGAGTCCACAACACACAAAAAAGACAACGCTGGTCGCGCAACAACTTCTCCCTCAACAACTGGAGCTTGTTGTTGCTTCCACTTAGTAGCTCAGTGACTGCTCAGATCTGGTTGTGATACTAATTTTGGAAGACCATTTGTAGGTGATCAACTGGGCTGTTCAAAGGCAATCCTAAATTCTTACCTTGGGTTTCGCAAGGGGTCCCCTGTGTAGTGGCTTTCCTACAGAGACTATGGATTAGGAGTGGCCCACCCTCCATTTTGAACAGCCCAGTTGGTTGTGGGCCCTCCCATTCCGTCCCGCCAAGAGGAAACGGATCCAGGCTGGAACCTCCCTGTGCCATGGCAACTTGGGAGGAAAGGTTCTGGTTTGACCAGAGCTTGGTGCCTCAAAATGAAGGAAAGGTCAAGAGCTTAGGAAAGGTAGCGCTTCAAAATGAAGGAAGGGTCAAGAAGCATGTGCCTCCATGTTTCTTTGGACACGTTTGCGGGGAACCCGGGCTTGAACTGTGTCTGGCGAGTCTTGAGCTTTGGGCGCAATCCTGGCAGCGAGGCGTTGACAATGACTTGAATAGTAAAGGTTCGGTCGGTCGACCGGAAAAAAAAAAGAAGAAAAAAAAAGAGTGAACACCCGCAAAAAACAACAACACTCCTGGGCATTGGGAAAACCGGCTTGCTCCTGGAGGTGGTTGTCTTCAAGCAAAGCCTACCTTGCCTCCAGCTCGGACCAGGGCGTGCTTGCGGCTGAGGAGGCGCTAGAGCGGTATTGAAGCCTCACCCGATCAAAAGTCGATTGGTGTCAAGGTGGCCCTGGTAGTTGATTGAACCAGGCAACCCAGGAACCGCCCTCTATTATTCAACGAAATCAATCAAAAAGGACACCTATGGACATGAGGGTCTCAATTTTTGAGGTTACCCCCGGAGCCGGGTGAAAAATGCTGAACAGGACAACCCCCTCACAGGGTCATTATCCTAGGGGGGTGGGGGTCCCCAATTTCATTTTCCTTTTTCTTCCCGACGCAGGGCAACCCCGCTCCCCGGTTGAATTTGATTTCAATTGGTGGGCTCTGAAAACGAAAAAGGGGCTAGCATCCCCGCAACCTCAAAATTACCTGTTTGCTCACTCCCTGCAAGGGTTGGCAAAACAAGATAGGACTTGCTTGTTTACCCCTGACATGTTGTTCCCAACAGGAACATGGAAACTGAGGGTATTGTTTTGACATGCCTTTTGCAGCCCTGCGAGCCCAAAAACAAAAACAAAAAACAAACATGGTAGAAGACCTCCTGCAAATTAACACAACGCACCAATTCACAAAAGGGGTCCCTCCCGGGAGGGAAAAAACAAAAAGAGAGAGCGACTTTTGCAATATTTCTAAAACCTGAAAAAACAGATCCCCAAGAAAGGATGTTAACCATGGCAAGCTCGTTTTACCCGCGCTCGCCATGAATTACGCAGAAGAATGTAGGAAATTTGAGCTTCCATGTGGGGTAAACCAAATGGGTTGCCCTGGTAACTAGAACCAAGCACTGTTTTCCAGCGATCCATATCCTGCTTGTTTAATTTTGACCCATGTTTTGTTGCAGGAGCTGTCTCTGCAACAAGTTTCACTTGTTGTTGCTTCTGGGCTGTCCGTTTTCATGCTAAAAGTGAGTAACTTTTAGTGGGTGAACGGGACCCCCCCCCCACCGCCAAGGTTTGCAAGGGGCACACGATGCTTTCCCAACTTAAAGCCTAAAGACTCAAGACCCAAACAAATTGCATCCCAGTGAGGGTATGCAAATGTTTGACGGTTCCATTCGCATGCAAGCCTCATTTGCCCCGCTTCAGACATGGGAAAACAGACTTGTTCTTTGGTTGCTGCTTCAAATGTACCCACTTCTGGATTGATCTTGTGGGCAAAAGGTCTAACCTCCTGTAGGTTTAGTGAAGCCATTGGCTCCAAAAGGCCTCTCCGGTTCTCAAGGGGGCAGAGAGACCAGCCGTGATTTAAAGAAGCGCAATACCACTGGCTGCAACTTGGAGTATCTTTTAGCATTTCGTTCTTTAGGATCGCGAAAGTCGATTCCGGAGTGAATTAGGACAGCGTGGAAATCTAGGGACCCTCTGGTGGACATGGTGGGGATTCATGTCTGCCACTTTCCAACTTTTAATTTCATTGCCACTCCATGGTGGCTTGCATTGTGGGAGAAAGAACCCCAGTTCATGTTGGAAACACATCGGAAGGTACCCCTAAGCTCCAAAACACCAAACCCCCGCCGGAGGTTGTTGACTGAGGCAGGCACGTATCACCTTGCACACTCAGCCTCGGCCACGAATCTGTGTTAATGAGGGTGCCCTGTCATGACTGCAGCCCTTCCCGCAAGCATGCATTCTTGCAACTAGCGCACTTGACACTCAGAACCTTACCCCTATGTGATCTGGACAAGCTTGGATTTAAACTTCAACCTGCAGTTCTGCCTGAAATCGATGAGAAGCGTAGCTGCTAAGCAAAGAAAGGCTCCAAACCAACAGGAAAGGCGCTGTCCCTCGTTCTTCCTACAAAAGGGTCACAACCAGCCGCATCCATCCCGGTTGCCCAGTGACCCTGTTGGAAAAGGAAACCTCGCTGGGGAACTCAGAAGCGTGGAACCTCCCAACCTGTCTACTTCCATGATCGCTGGAAAGATACTGGGGAAACAAAATCCCAAAGAGCAGCTAAGTAGGGGACAAATCCGCTGTGTCCGTTGAAGTGACATCATCAACATTGCTAGGTGGCTTTCTGCTCCCCTGCTTGCTAAAGTCACTAACTCTTAGTGGTTTGATGCGGAAAAACCCATTCGTTGCTAAAGTCCTAATATCCCTTGGCAACATGCACCAAAGTTACCCTCTAAATGTCGCCTTCAAGGGCAGCACGCCAAGGCGAATACTTTGAGAACCCCCCCCCCCGGGCCACCCAACAAATACAAAACACACGAGGCCAGGTGTAGAAAAAAACAACAACTAGGGCAACCAACAAAGTTTGGCACGTGAGTATTAGTGACGCAGTCGAGTTCCTAACAAACCTCACGTGATGCTTCTTCAACCGCATAGATTCGCCTCTTCAAAACATAAAGCCACGAAAAGGAACGTGAGATGTCCTAGGGAAGCTCTGTAGGAAACAAATAGAAGGGCCCAATATTTACAACCTTGTTGTCCATGATAGTGACACGGCTTGGAAATGAGGACTTACAAACCCCATTCTAATTGTTGACGGTTTAGGGCCCGCAAAAGTGGCCGTGCCCCTTGTCGGGGACCCAAAACCCGCGCTGGTGTAGGGAAATCTGTAGTTCTGTGCCTCACTCAGTGAAATTTAGGTTTAAGCTTACCTCGGGGGTAATCAACAACATGGAACCCACTGGGACAGACTTTGGCACCCCTGGTTTTCTTAGATGGGCATGGGTCAAAATAATCATTTTTCCACTTGCCAGGGTTCCATTTGGGGTACATATTGTTGACCCACCAAATCATTCCCCTGACAGCCTCCCTTGAAAAGGGTTTCTGCACTACCAGGTTTTTGGCTGCTTATTTATCCCACCAGTGGAAAAGGCAAGCCATGTTCCCTGACCAAATAAACCCCCACTAAACACTAAAAGGCTAAAAACCTAAGGAACCGGATGGCTGAGAGCCACCAAGTTTTCTTAGATCATTCCCCCGACCCCTGACCGATTCTGCTGGCACCATGAGTGAAGGCTCAGCCCAGCGGCGGGGCAGCACAGCAGCTGAAGCCCCCCGTGCGATAGGCCTGCGCTTTGACGACCCGACGCCTCGGGGTGGCTTTGGGGTTCTCCTTTGGGCGAGTCCATGGAACTAGGAGGTTAGAATAAGTTGGTACCCGATTTTTGTCTGTAGTCTAATTTAGAACAGGTTGGTACCCGAATTTTGTATGTAGTCCATTTTTGTAGGGGAACCCGGAAATGGAAGTCTTCGTTCCAAGAAGCCAAGTGGGGGAGCTTTCGGCTCTTCGTCTGAGGGAGTGTAGTACTGTCTAGTACCGATGGATGAAACCCGATGCATCCGGCGCAGGACCTCCAGGATTTCGTCAGCTTCTAGGGAGAGCGTTGCTGGTACTGCCATCAAGGTATCCTCAAACAACATGCACGGCTTCGAATCTTCGCCTGCCTTTGACTCCAAGGTTCTATCGCCTGAAACCATGATATGAACACATCCCGCAACTTTGCACTGTTTGCTTCTGATGGTGTTTCTTGATCTCTCCCTGATCAGCTTCAGTTTGCGGGTTGAGCTGTTGCCCGCTCTAACTTGGTTTGCGGCAAATCGCAAGTGCGCGGCACCCCGAGGGCCTAGGCATGGTTTATCCGCTCACAGTATTACCACAAAATAGATTTGGGGACCACCCTCGACCGAGCACAACCATTGTGCTCATTTGTTCATGTGCGCATGCCTGAGTTCCGTTGCCCATCACTCTGCAGCAAAAGCCGCCGAATCTTGCCTGCGCGGCGTAGCAAACCTTGCCCAGGCCAAAGAGGAAGCACAGCTTTCC